TGTTGAAAAAAGAGACCAGATATGTTCATGACAAGCATTTTGAAGTTCTCCATTCTGACTTGGAACCACAGATGAGGTCAATACTTCTAGACTGGATTTTAGAGGTATGTTCCAGCAATAAAAATTACACTTGTCTCTGTATGATGGGAAAATACTGAGATGTAAAAGTGCTTTCCGTGTGTCCTCAGTTTGGGTATGTTATCCATTGCCTGCGGCCATCTTTTTGGGGGTTCTTCCTATTGTTGATGGTACCAAAGCAGAAAATGTCTGCTTTATAAGACGAAAATCATAAGGACATAGCCATTATATCCCATACAACCCAAACCCAAGTCAGAATTCCTGGTATCAGCGGATATTGCTGTGTACCAGGCACTTGTTCTAGTTACCAAGGATACTCAAGATGTACAGAACATATAGTTGACAGGGTTTTGATTTCTATGCAAAAGGAAGAACCAGGAGTAGGCTTCAGGGCCCTCAGAAGTCCTTTATGCATCACCAAAATCAAATTAGGGTTTGGAATCCCAATTTCTATGTCCTAAACTATAGGAGGCTTTGAATATCCAGAAGTCTGTAAGACCTCTAGGCTCCATGTAGCCTCCCTTTATTATATACCTCTATTCTTTTCAGAAATGTACTTTACTGTTAATTTAAAGGAATAATAGTGATCCTGAAGTCCTTACAGATCTGCACCAGAATTTTCTCTCTTGTTCAGGCCCATTCCTTTTCTCTGGATAATTTAGAAGACTCTAAGATGATTGATGAAATGATTATTTGTATTAATGATAAACTGATTTTCCTCCAACCCTTAAATATTTGCTCTGTAGTCTAAGACAGATACGTGTGACACATCCTAAAGAGGAAAACTAAGCTTTTTAGTGTTGATCTCAGAAGCTATCGGAAAGTTTTCAGATTATAAAATGTCCTTTTGAGTCAGGTCGTTTGCTCCTTATTCTGAGTAGAAGGGATGATTGTTATTTCAGTCATGTGGGTACAAAAAGATAGTTGGGTTTTTATTAGTGTCTAATGATCATAGAAGCAGCTGAAGTATAGGTATATTATTTCCTTTATATGCTTTGTTGATTTTTATCCATTTGCTGTCTATCCAATTTATTCTGTTTTTCCACAAATATATGACTGTGCAAAACCACACAGAATATAATAAATTCAGCAGAATGCTAAACTTTTGATATATTATTTTAGTCTTGGAATGCAAAGATTGTTCAACATTTGAAAATCTAATAATTTAGTACCTGAATAGTTTAAAGGAGAAAAATCGTAAGATCTCAATAGATGCAAAAGACATTTTTTTGAAATTCATACTCACTCATTTTAAAATATGTACTAAGCTAGTAATATGAGACTTCCTTAACACAGTGTTTATTGGAAACTGCATTTATCTCTATACTTCTGTTTCCTCATCTCTAAAATGGGAATGATAATGGTACCTATTTCATAGTTATTGTGAGAATTAAAAGTTTTCGGTAATTTTTCCCTTATAGTAAATGTGTGATAGCTACTATTTATTAATAACAATAGTGAAACATTAGACAAATTCCCATTGAAGTCAGAAAGAATAAGATAAAGATTCTGTCTATCACCAACTTACTCATCTAGTATTCTTCTATAGTTCTTAGCCAATGTAGTAAAACATGAAAAATAAATGAAGTAAAAACATTGAAAGGAACACAGCTGGCATTCTGAAGTTAAATGTCTACCTAGAATGATGAAGAGAATCAGCTGGAACTACAGAATAAGAATATAAACTAAACATGAAAATTTACCCACGTATCGGCAATAAACAGGAAATATAATTTCTCATTCACAGTCAGGAAAAAGTATAAATGTATCTAGGAATCAATATACTAAGTCTAATGTGAAAAAAAACAATAAAACTAATAACACTACATTAGAATGGTAATAGATTTGTATCTTATTGGTGGGGCAAATGATTAATGTGCTCTGCCAGTAACTGAAATGTTGGGAGGTTTGGGTTCACTCAGAGGTGCCCTGGAAGAAAGTCCTGATGATCTACTTCTGAAAAATCAGCCATTAAAAACTCAGTGGAGCACAGTTCTCTAACACACATGGGATAACCATGAGTCAGAATTGACAGCAACTCATTAATTAAAAAAACCCATTGCCATTGATTCCAACACATAGCGACCCTATGGGGCAGAGTAGAACTGCCCCCGTGGGGTTTCCAAGGCTGTAATCTTTATGGAAGCAGACTGCCACATCTTTATCCCTCAGAGTGGGTAGTGGGGTGAACCGCCAACCTTTTGGTTAGCAGCCGAGCGCTTTAACCATTGCACCACTGGTTTATTAGCACAGGTTAATGTATTTTTTTCCTGTCTTAGCTTTGGTACCCTAAAAAAACAAAGTTTGACTATTCTAAAGTGTGGTATGCTAAGAGATGATGTTCTGATCTGGAGAAATTTTAGAATATTTAAATGTTTGGATTCTTCTCTAGGTATGTGAAGTATACACACTTCACAGGGAAACATTTTATCTTGCACAAGACTTTTTTGATAGATTTATGTTGACACAAAAGGATGTAAATAAAAATATGCTTCAGCTCATTGGAATTACTTCTTTATTCATTGCTTCCAAACTTGAGGTAAGTTCTCAAAGGTTATCCATAGATATATTTCTTCCAGACTTTTGGATTTTTTAATTAACATGTTAATCCCAGAGAATACTATTTTTGATATTAACTCCTTTGGAAAGCTGAGTGATTTTTTTCCTTAATAGTTTTTTTCAGTGTTATCATGAGAAGAGAATAGTTTATCATAGTTCCTAGACTATCATGATACTCTGAACCTATGTATAAATCTTTGGTTTAGATTCTGGACTTACTATCTGTTCTATGGCTCATTCTGCCAAACATAAAGAAGCTGTCTCTGTATACATAATTATGACACTTGGATTTGATAGAATACTTTGAAAACTAAAGGACCAATCAAATGAAACAAATGCTGTATTGGTTTACAGTAGTGGTCTATCCAGCCTGATATTTCTGTATCTGATGGTGGTACCATGATAGAACACACCTCCTTTCCTGAGATTTTAACACAGTCTCAAAAGACTAAAAAAATCTACTTTTCTTAAACAATACAATCATCAACACTCTTTTATCTAAAATTTTTGCAGCCTGTATTGTTTTGAGGATAGAGGAATTGTAATCACGTATCAATTTCCTTAAGTGTATTTTTCTTTTTCTTCTATATGTGTCTCTTCTGAGCTTTAAGGACTATCCAAAAATTCTGCCAAATTTAGTGAATAAGTTCGTATTCAGTCTCTCTACCTGAAATCATAGTGTTTCAGGTATCTTTCTAGGTTGAAATTCTAATCTTTAGCCTGTTCTCAGGCTTTTTCTTTTAGTTGTTCTCTGGACTGTCAGAATAGACCTCTTGTCAGCCAAACTGCACAAAGTATTTTTTGATTAACCATACTTTCGTACCAGAGTAAAAGATATGTGTTTAGCTTCTAGACTTTATTTGCTGAGTGGCTTGTTTTGGCCAGACCAAACTTGTTTGGCTTTTACTTTTTTCTTAACTGAAGCGACAGGTTAAGACTCTAGTCATTTATTAGCTACGATTCAAGGTCAATTCTATCAAACTAAGTCATTATAATCAATATAGTAGCTTATTTCGATACCTAGATATGAAAAATATCTTTAAATATAAGGTTGTTTCTGCCTATAGAATTATTTTGGATAGTCGCTAAGATTTATAATCACTCTGTGAAGCTGTCCTTAAGAAAATGAAGCCTCTATGTGGTTAGTAGGTAATTCTGTTTCAATTGCAACCTCAATTGTGCTTAATAAAAAAAATCCATCTTAAAGGAAATCTACGCTCCTAAGCTCCACGAGTTTGCTTATGTCACTGATGGTGCTTGCAGTGAAGAGGATATCTTAAAGATGGAACTCCTTATATTAAAGGTAATAACTTTGTCTTTATTATTTCCAGTTGCAACTTAGTAACACAGTAGTTATTGCTGAATTTCAAAGACTACAATGTAAATAATCAAAACTAAGGTTTTACTATTAGGATCCAGGTCTAAGAAATTAATGCATCGAATTATTGACAATGGTTATGGGTTATGGCTAAGAGGGGGGATTTACATATGACTTTTATCCTCTAAACTCTACCTTTTTATATCTTTCAAGTTTCTTATACTGAGGATATATTATTTTCCTAACTGAAGTGATTAAGGACAACCACTTTCAGTACATGTAGGTATTCAGCACGTGTGTATATATATATATACATATATATATGAAGTCCAAAATTATTCTCAAATCTTAGCTCTGATTTTCCTCTTTCAGCAGACAGAATTAGAATTATTTCACTTTATTGTTCTTTCTATATGCAGAGAAAGGGCTATTAATAGAAGGGTGGAGGAGAGAAGCATAAAGGTGTTTAATCAGGCCTTCAATTAGACATTAACAAGGTAAATGTTAGCTACTTAAAGGTATGTAATTTGGACATCATGGATTTATAAATAGGACATAAAGAAAACATAATTGATACACTACTTCATTTACAGAAATCTCCAGTTCATTGCAAACGTTCTGATTGATAGCTCTGTTAGAATGAGTTGGCATTTGATGAGTTTTAATAAAAACGTTATCCAGATGCAGCTTATCCAGATTTAGACTTAAAGTATAGCTGAGTACTAAAGTATAGGTGACTACACTAAGGAAGATGTAAAGGGAAGATGGAATTGTATGGGCGGTCCTACAAGCATTAAGACTCTATTTCTTCCTGTTTTAGGCTTCTTGTAAATAGTGAGGTCCCAGGGCTTGCTGGAGGAAAAAATATCCTAAGTAGGGTGTGTGTTTTTTTTTTTAAAGTTTTATATTTTGACCAGAAGCCAATACAGATCACTGTAAGAAGGAAAAAGCAGAGTCAGCTCTTAGAAGATATGAATGGAATTCGCTGTGAAAAAGTCAATGCATACAATTAAAAGGGCAGTTTCAATAAGTAGTGAACAGATATCGGAGAGCAGGGGCTGCAAGGAACTGGAAAAGCAGGAACAAATAGGTTCAGTGAACTTTGTAAATAAAAAGATAATTAGGGAATAATAAAGTGGTTTTTATCAAAAACAGTATCAATAAAAACACAAGCAGCTTTAGACTGTAAGATGTCCGTAAATATTTTTAATAAAAATGAAAGAGGTCAGTAACAGAACTCCTCAGTAGAAGCAAGCTTAAAGCAGAGTAATTTTCTTAAATGACTGTTTTAAGAAATTAGCTATAAAATGTGGTATATGCACTTACATTTATTAACAAGCATTAATAATTTCATTAACAGGCTTTAAAATGGGAACTTTGTCCTGTAACAATCATCTCCTGGCTAAATCTCTTTCTCCAAGTTGATGCTCTTAAAGATGCTCCTAAAGTTCTTCTACCTCAGTATTCTCAGGAAAAGTTCATCCAAGTAGCTCAGGTATTGACGTTTTTATTGAATATATGCTAATATCATTGTTAATTACAGGATTTGTTTAGTGTATATAGTCTATATGTATATACATATAAGCTATACAACAAAACAACAAGGCATATTGAACTCAATTCACTCCTTAATTAACTAGAACAAAACTTGATGCATAAAATTCTGTTCCCAATGTTTATGTTGCTTAATAGTTCTAGAAAACAAAGTCTTTAAACTTTTATAAGTACTTTCCATTCTTTAGGAGTCCAAACTAGAGAGTTAAATGCCTCTTTTTTGATACAAAATGAGGGATGGGAATTTGCAACCAGTTGTCTTTAAGCTTTATGTTTTAAAAAAAAACAAAAAACCAAACGTGCTGCCAAGCAGTTGATCCCGACCCATAGTCACCCTATAGGACAGAGTAGAACTGCCCCATAGAGTTTCCAAGGAGCAGGTGGTAGATTCGAACTTCTGACCTTTTGGTTAGCAGCCAAGCTCTTAACCACTACACCACCAGGACTTTATAATGGCACAAAGTTCTTCTGTATGATTATCTTATTCTTTGTATTGGAGTACACAGGGTACCTATTTAAGTTATATGTTAAAATCAATTTTGTTACAGGATTTTTTTTTAAACTTAAGTTCATATTAAACTTTTCTAGGCCAGAATATAACAAACTTTCTAACAAAGTGACTAACTAGAGGGGATCCATTCTTTCTTGCCTACTCATAAGATGTGTCTTTAGGCTGCCATACATGAAAGTGAAGAAAATCTACATTCTGTGTAGGCTGTGAAAATCTTGCATATGGAATTTAAGGAATGTGGTACTTTGGGGTATTAAGTAACCTAGGTTAAAATTTGTGTTTTAAATCTAGTCAGCACATTATGAACTCTAAAATTGAATAGCCATTAAATATATTGGAATTGGTTCATTTGTAAAACTTTCTAATGAAGACGTACTAAATCTTCTGTCAGAATTCCCAGTATCCCAGATTGTCACAGGCATTTGATAGAGGGAAAACCTTTGTTAAACAATGTGGAAACCATTTCTAGAGCATATATTTTCACTTCTAATTCTTTTACTCCTGTTTCTACAACCTTGTGGACCAATGGGGAAAACATACTAGTTTTATTCCGCTGGAATAAAGGTATCACCTCAGACTCTGAAATTTAGCCCTTTTACTCCATCCCCTGCTACTTGTTCAGCTCTCATTACCTGGATTACATTGATTCTTAACTAATCTCCCTGCTTATAAACACGTTCCCTTCTAGTCTGTCTGCTTTGCTGCAGTCTGCGGGATCTTTCTTTAAAATCCTCCAGTAGATTCAATTAGCCTATAAAGTTCTGAGTTCTTAATATTGACGGCCCTTTATGGTCTAGTCTAGGCCACATGCCTCTCTCCAGCAGGGGTTTTTTTTTAAATTATTAGTAGTAAGGAATGAAGAAAATATACTTATTTCATATTTTTTACCTTAGTTACTGCTACTTCAGTTCCAAGGAAAAGTAATGCTTTCTCACTTACCTTTGCAAATGCTGTTTCCCATACCCAGAATATTTTCTACCTCCCAATCTTCCCAGCTGCTTCATCGTTTGACATCAGAAGCCTTCGCTGTCTTCCACAATGGGGATTAGATGCCCTTCCTACTAGTACACATCACCCCGCGCCGTAACACTCTTTTACTTGTCTGTTCATTCCCTGACCCACAATCCCAAGACTTGAGTGCCTTCAGGGTGGTGGGTTATTTATCTTTGGATCTCTAGAGCTTTAGCAGTTCCTGGCATAAGGTCAACATAAGCATTCTAAAATATTAGTTTACTGATGTTTAGTAGGACTGTGTAGTACTCATCCTTCTCCTTCTAAATCACTTGTAATTTTGCTTTTTCCTTTGTTAGCTTTTAGATCTGTGTATTCTAGCCATCGATTCATTAGAGTTCCAGTACAGAATATTGGCTGCTGCTGCCTTGTGCCATTTTACCTCTACTGAAGTGGTTAAGAAAGCCTCAGGTAAAACTCTATATTCTGTTATTGTCTCACTTGTTCACAACTTTTAAAGGGACTGTCAATCTGTGAACTTTAGCATTCTGTTAAGTATGAATTTAAAACTTTAGCAGAAACACTTTAGTGGCTTGGTGATTACCTTCCTTTCTATTAGAAGTACTTTCTAATCTTCAGTTTATATCTACAAACAAAAAATAAGGTCAAATGGAACTTAGACATTTGAAGTGAATCGACATGATTTCACTGCTTTACTCTAAGAGTTCTTTGGGGTTGACAACTTCATATGTAGAAAGTACTAGTTAAACTCTGAAGTCCCCTTCCCCTTCAAAATAGTCACCATAAACAGTTTGAGAGTGATAATTTGTTCTGATTTACTAAACTTTTTGATTTTGGTGTCTTTTAAAAATGAGTTTTAAAATAACTATCTTAAAATTTAGAAGCAGTATATTAGTCGTAAGTTAGTTTCAGATGTAACCTTCACATTTTTTCTGATTTTTCTCTATCTAGGTTTGGAATGGGATGACATTTCTGAATGTGTAGACTGGATGGTGCCTTTTGTCAATGTAATAAAAGGTACTAGTCCAGTGAAGCTGAAGGCTTTTAAGAAGATTCCTGTGGAAGACAGACACAATATTCAGACACATTCAAATTATCTAGTTATGCTGGTACGTTTTTTGTGGGTTTTTTTTTTCTTCTTAGTATTTAGTAAGTCATAGAAACTGACAGTAACGCTACTATGGAATAATACTTCAGGCAGTTATATAAGATGGCAAGGAGATAGAAAGTTCTGTGAAATCCATACTGATTTCACATAGAAAAGTTAATAAAATAACGTAGAAGTCAAAGCAAGACTTGTGAATTGTCTCAAAATCAATGCCAGTAGTCCAGGTAAGAGTAAAAAAATATATATAGTTAGACAGGCAGTTGAAACTGTTGAACCTTGAGAATACGACTATTCAGTTACACAAACAGAGAACATTGTGTTAGGGCTGAATACTCTCAAGTAAATACCCAGATATCTGGTTTGACTTTGTTTTACTATATCAGTGCTTTATCTTAGCTCTTAAACTCTGCATGATTTCTTCACATGTGTAGGATGAAGTAAATTATATAAACACCTTCAGAAAAGGGGGACAGTTGTCACCAGTGTGCAATGGAGGCATCATGACACCACCGAAGAGCACCGAAAAACCAGGAAAACACTAAAGTTACTAAGCAGAAAAGTTGAAACTGACTGAGTATATGGTAGAATTTCACAGAAATCAACTACTAAAGTTTTACACCAAAATATGCTGTGATTGTCCTAGCCAATTCAGAAGTTACACTGCCGTTCTTTGGTTAAAAGGCCACTTAAAATTGGTACTAAGGGGGAAATTTATTTAATTCCTATGTTAGCCGTTAAAGAAACAGCAGGACTTGTTTACAAAGATGACTTCATTCCCATGGTGACTGGATAGAAGCCAGCTGCAATTTATGCCATAGCAACATTTTTCTTGGATCCAGTGTTACTATGTTTGTTATCTTGATAAACTAGGAATTTTATTATTGGAGTTTTGGACTAGGTAAGTGCTACCTTAAAGGGTACATTAGGTGAATATAGTACTTTGAATCTAGCTTTTAGATTCTCAAAATTCATGCACTCTGACTAGTGCAATTTGGTTCTTAAAATTTAAACTTGTTTACAAAGGTTTAGTTATGTAATAAGGTAACTAATTTATCTACAGCTGCTGTAGCAAGCTGTTATAAAACTTGAAGTTTTACAAATGATAAACTTTAATCTGTTTTTAACTAGTTTTTTTGGCTTGCCATAGTGTATTTTTTTAGCAATGAGGCTTAAAAGAACATGGTGTTTAAACTGCTCTAAACAGTGGGAGTACCAAAGAAATTATAAACAAGATAAATGTTTTGACTCCTACTTGGGGCTCTGACAGATAGATAGGTTGCTGTTTGATAACCTTTTTGTATACCACAGTTTGGGTGAAAAACAAATACCTTTTAAAACTATTTATACGAAAAAGTCACTTTATTACTCTAAGATGTCCCTAAGGATTTTTAATTTAGTGTGACTACAGCTTTATTTATATTCCTAAAATTGTTAAGGCCCTTTTAAAAATCTACATTATGATATAAGGACAGTGTCAAAGTGATAAAAGCTTAACACTCGACCTAAACTTCTATTTTCTTAAGGCAGAAGAGTATTAAATGTATACTGACTCCTAGAAATCTATTTATTACTTTAAAAAAAAAACAAAAAAAAAACCTTGACACAAGAACTTGCTGTATATAGACTAGCTATTTCTCCATAAATATCTTAAATCAGGTTTGTTTTTTATGAATTTCAGCCTCAAAAGTGGAATTAGAAAAAAATTATACTAGTTTATTCTGTTACCAGACATGTGAATCGTTTCTTCTTTTGGAGAAATTATAAATTTAAGCTATTGTTATGGTATGAAGTCTTCTGTATAGTTTTTTTTTTTTTTTAAACTAATATTGGTTTCAGTATTTTGTCTGAAAAGAAAACACCACTAAATGTGTACATATGTATTATATAAACTTAATCTTTTAATACTGTTTTTTTTTAGGCCATTGTTTAAAAAATAAAAGTTTAAAAATTTTAACTAACTGCTTAAAAATTTTAACTAACTGCTTAAAAGTAAAGTTTTGCCATTGCTTGGAGAAACTTTTTTTTTCTTCTCTGTGCTGCCAGCTGTAACACTTCTTCTGGATTGCTTGCATTCAATTCTGTCTGGCCAATGGCTTTGATCTTTCAAAATAGAAAAGTGATGGTATTAGCAGTCTGGTAAAAATAAGTCTTGCTAGTACACGTAATATAAAATTATCTATATGCTAACAGTGATAGTTTAATGATTAATTGAAACTCTAATTGTAAAACCCAAGAAGCGCAAAAAAATTAACGAAGACTGACTAGAGCCATTCTTAGGAGAAGACCAATTACTGAAGCATTTATGGAATTATCTTCAGTGACATTTTATTACATTAAGTAAGTTCATAATAAGTTTAATCAACTGAATACCAGTAAACAAACTCTATATGGTAATTTGACAAATGATACATTTCCACAGTTAAACTGGAGTCAAATGCTTAAGACTTCTATAAAATATTTTGAAAAATCACAATTCTGTTTCAGGGCTTCACTTTTTAATGTGCAAAAATATCCGGTTGCTCAGCACTGTAATAGCATACAGTGCTCACCTTTTTCATGATTAGAAAGCAATATCTCAACCTACTAAAAATCTAGAGTGTTCAGTGAGGGCATACTTTGAAGAACTTAGAATCTACCTTTAGATGATTTTAAAAAACCAATTAGAACATCTTTAAACAGCAAAGACTTTCTGATATGTGGCTAGAAGGGAGAAAAGACTAATCAGAAATGATCATCAGTTACAGACAGGAAGTTAGAGAGAGGGAAGATTTGCTGGATGATGCCATTCAGTATGAAAGAATGCCTGTGGTAAAGGCTGGTAGTCGAGTGTAACTTAAAAGAGTTGTTTCACTGTATAACTGGGAGCTCCTAATAATCAAACACTTGCTCACCAAAAGACTAAAAAGACAACCTACAGACTGGGAAAAAAAATTTTGGCTATGACAAATCTGATCAGCATCTAATCTCAAATCTACAAGATACTGCAAAACCTCAACAACTGAAAGAAATAATCCAATTAAAAAATGGGCAAAGGATACGAACAGGCAAGAAGACATTCAGGTGGCTAACAAACATATAAGGTAATGCTCACGATCATTAGCCATTAGAGAAATGCAAATCAAAACTGCAATGAGATACCATCTCACGCCAGCGAGGCTAGCATTAATCCAGAAAACACAATAAATGGTGGAGAGGTTGTGGAGAGACTGGAACACTTATACACTGTTGGTGGGAATGTAAAATGGTACAACCACTTTGGAAACTGATTTGGCGTTTCCTTAAAAAGCTAGAAATAGAAGTACCATACAATCCAGCAATCTCGCTCCTTGGAATATATCCTAGAGAAATAAGAGCCGTCACACGAATAGATATATGCACACTCATGTTCGTTGCAGCACTGTTCACAATAGCAAAAAGATGGAAACAACCTAGGTGCCCATCAATGGATGAATGGATAAACAAATCACGGTATATTCACGCAATGGAATACTACGCAATGATAAACAACGATGAATCCGTGAAACAACATGGAGGAATCCAGGAGGCATTATGTTGAGTGAATTTAGTCAGTCGCAAAAGGACAAATATTGTATAAGACCACTATTGTAAGAACTCAAGAAAAGGTTTAAACACAGAAGAAAACATTGAAGGTTACAAGGGTGGAGAGGCAGGGACGGGTACTCACTAACTAGAGAGTAGACAAGAATTAAGTGAAGGGAAGGACAGCCCACACTACAAGGGAAGTCAGCACAACTGGACTAAACCAAAGCTAAGAAGTTTCCTGAATACAACCAAACACTTCGAGGGACACAGTAGCAGGGGCGGGGTTCTGAGGACCATGCTTTCAGGGGACATCTAGGTCAACTGGCATAACAAAGTTTATTAAGAAAATGTTCTGCATCCTACTTTGGTGAGTGGCGTCTGGGGTCTTAAAAGCTGAAGAGTGGCCATCTAAGATACATCAATTGGTCGCAACCCACCCGGAGTAAAGGAGAATGAAGAACACCAAAGACACAAGGAAAGTATTAGTCCAAGAGACAGAAAGGTCCACATAAACCAGAGACTACATCAGCCTGAGACCAGAAGAACTAGATGGTGCCTGGCTACCACCAACAACCTCCCTGTGAGGGGACACAAGAGTCCCTGATGGAGCAGGAGAAAAGTGGGGTGCAGGCGCAGAACTCAAACTCTACTAAAAACACCAGACTTAATGGTCTGACTGAGACTGGAGGAACTCCAGAAAGCATGGCCCCCGGACTCTCTGTCAACCCAGAACTAAAACCATTCCTGAGGTGAACTCTTCAGACAAAGATTAGACTGGACTAAGGGACATAAAATGATATTTGTGAAGAGCATGCATCTTAGCTCAAGTAGACACATGAGACTAAATGGGCAGCTCCCATCCGGAAGTGAGATGAGAAGGCAAAAAAGGTCAGGAGCTAGTTGAATGGACACGGGAAATCAGGTGTGGAAAGGAGGAGTGTGCTGTCACAGGATAGGGAGAGCAACTAGGGTCACATAACAATGTATGTATACATTTTTATATGAAATACTAACTTGAATTACAAACTTTCACTTAAAGTACAATAAAATAAAAAAATAAAGAGTTGTTTCAGACATGCAAGATATCCCAAAGACAGCTGGCTATAAAAGTCCAAAGTATAAGACAAGTTGGAATAACCAGGTATTTGAGAGAAATATACACCATGTGGGTAGGAGTCAAAACCATGAGTGGATGAGATTACCCAGCGAGAACAAAGAATGGTTAAAAAAAAAAAACCCAAGGACTAACCTTTTGGGAATATCAAGTTTAAGAAGTGGGCAGAAGGAGATACCCATAAGAAAAAAAAGAAGGGACAGTCAGGAAAAAGAATCGAGAAAAAATTATGCTAGGGAAGCCAAAGGAATAGAGTTTTTAATAAGGAAGGAGAGGTAAACAGTAGGATAAGGATTAAAAAGTACCTACTGGCTTTGGCATTTGGTGACCCTTAAGAGAGCAGTTAAGAGGGGTGATAGCAGAAGCCAAATTGCACTGGACTGAAGTTTCAAACACTAGGCAGTGAAGGGATAAGAGAAGACTGGAGGTATAACCATAAATGTTTTTATTAAGGATGAAATAGTTTATAGATGATGGGAGAGATTAACAATATAGAAGAAGGCATAACTAATTAAAAGGTCCCTAAGAGGATAAAATCAAAGCGTAATGAAGAGTATAGTTGTAGCCTATTTTAAATGTAGGAAATAGGAATTTAAACAGGCACTTCTTAGGCCACAATTCCCAAGATTTCCATGAGGACAGGGGCTAGTCAGTCTTTTTTCTTATCTACCTCAAGCATACAAGAGGCAAAGAAGTTACTGAAAATAGAAAAGGTAAAAAATGGATAGGGAGATTAAGTGGGGGAAAAGCCTGAAATAATCCCTGAAAAAAATGCAGACTGCTAACTAGTGGGAGGTAAAACAATTAAGAACCGAGGGACCAGCTAAAGCTGGAGATTGTGGTTTGGTAATGGCACCAGTTAATATGGCATAGGACTTTTTTTCTAACAGGACTCAGTAGTCCAGGAAAAGAAAAGGGGTAAATTATTACTGATTCAGGATTAGAATTTTTCCCGGTGAAATGAAGGACAAAAAAACAAAGATGCTGAAGATACTGATCAAAGAGTAGTCTGACAGTCAACCATAGACAGCAGTGGTCCCCAATCTGGTTTGTTATTAGAACCACCCAGGAAACAAAAATTGGATTCCAGGGCCTCATCTCAGACTGACTGAATCAGTTTCTCTGAAAGTGCATAGAGACTGGTTTTGCTATACTTGGGGTGAGTACAGAAAGAAGAGAAGCTTGGAAGGGGGTGACAGACTGGGAAAAAACTGGTCATGAACCTGAACACTTCAATGACCAAGAGAAGCACAGGATCCAGTAAGTCAAGAGAAGGACAGGGACTAGATCGAACAAAGTGGGTTACCAACAAGGCACAGCTATGGGTGGTGGTGAAACAACCAATGGGCTGCTAATCGAATCACCCAGCAGCTTCACAGGGGAAAGACTTGGCCATCTGCTCCCATAAAGATTACAGCCTAGAAAACTCTATGGGGGCAGTTCTTCTGTGTCACATGGGGTCACTATGAGTTGGAATCCACTCAATGGCACCTAACAACAACATGGGTGTGGGTGGCTGAAGCAGAGTAAAGATGACAATGGAACCAAAGCTGCAAAGACCTGTAAAGTTAAGGGTGTTGGGTAAGTTGAGTACGTGTCTTTTGATGCATGTAGAACAGTAACCAGGAGGTGAGATGAGCTAATAAGGAGGTGCATATGAACTTCAAAGGAGAAGGGGCTTTGAAAATCATATATAGCCTAAGGGGCCTTGGAAAATTTCAGTTTTGCCTTCCAGCTCCAGGTAAATGGGAAATGAGAGAATGAGTAACCCCCAAATAAGTGGAACTAGCTTTGTGGGTTTTTTTTCAAAGAAATGACACTGTTATTCTGTTTCCCCTAAATAATGACCATACAATTCAGTCCAACTCTAAAGCTTTAAAAGACAAAGAAAACTTAATAAACAGCATATACTTTTGTTAATGAGTGAAAGAGCAAAGAGATAATATCTATGATGGTACTAATGTAGCAAATGTTGGGCAAGTGAAAAAGAATATACAATTTATGTTTTAGCCTATAAATCAAATAAATCATACATCCATTCACTAAGTACTGAGCACCTATTATGTGCTGGGCACATACATACCAATAGTGAGAAAACCAAGTCCCTGCCTGAGGGGAAATAGACAATAAATAAATATATAGTATGTCAGATGCTGGTAAGTGTTACTGAGAAAAAATTTAAAAGGAAAATGAGAGTAAGAGTACTGGAGGGGAAAAAGAGAAGGGGTACTGCTCTAAGATGATCAGGGGAGGATGATGAATAAGAAGGTGACATTCGAGGAGAGACCCAAGGGAAGTTAATATTCCCAGCAGAGAAAATTTCAAAGGCCCTTAGGTGGTAAATGGTCTTGGTATGTTCAGATGGGTAGCTGGAGGCCAAATCATATGGGGCCTTGAAGGTCATTTTAAGGACTTGGACTTTATGTGAGATGGGAAACCACTGAAGGTTTGGGGCAGAGAAATAACATGATGTAATGTTTTAAAATAAAATAAACTGAGATATAGTTCATATTACCAAAAAGGGATCTTTAAAAAAAATAAACACTATTAACCAGAATTTTGGCAAAAATTAGGCACACAAAATCTCTTTTGTTGTTTCAAATCTTAATTATTCTATCACCAAAGAAAGGCATGAGGTAACTTACTGCAATTTGTCTTTTATCTGTTTCTCCTCTTTTATGATGAAGATCTAAATGAATCAGTTAGGAATAATGCATCTGATATGATTACATATGATAGCATTTAACTGGTTTTCAGTTTTGATTTGAAAAATACACAATATTACGTACTGATTTAGTTTATACAAATGAGCCATTTTAACATCACATATTTTCATGAAAGGATACAAGTCAAGTATTCCAAAATGGTAACATCCCATATGTAGTCATAGTAGGAGTCCATAGCATCATGACTGAAAAATAGAATTCAATTACTACCTCTTTCTTAAGCAGAAAAATTTCAACTCCATCTTATTTTAAAAATCATTCATACCTGTTTTGTTCTTGCAGCGACTTAAAGGCTGTTTTGTAGTCAATTTCTCTGAGGAACTGACATAAAATTGCCACCTACATAAAGAAATAAAGACTTGAAATATGATTTTATGTAACTAGTGTCAACAATGACTCTGTTGGTTTTGGAAAAGTAATCTTATTCTTACATCAAGAATATAGTCAAGTTAATTTAAGACGCCTTGCAGATCATGCTGAGTGGGTCAGCTTATACTTGTGGATTCCATCCAATTTTAATTTCAAAAACCTTTATACAAGTGTCTCTCTGCCCAGTATTTTCTTCACGGATGACCTAAACCACAAATTTCTGGAGCTTTGTTTAGATGAATGAGAAGCTGGCAAAAAGCCAGTTCAGAAAACTGAAGGGAAGGAGATGGAAAACTGCCGAACAAAAGTGTCATGACATTCAAGGACACAGAGAACACGTAATTAAACCTTTCACAGCTGACAAGTACAGAAACTCATTTTGGCAAAGTTTAGGCTGTCAGTGCTACTCAACACCAAACAGACGGGATCTATTTCAATCAGATACGGCAGTCATAGCGCTTTGTCTTTCATTTTTTAAATGATATAGTTCATATAACATAAAATTCACCTTTTTAATAGTACATTCATAAAGATGTACATCCATCACTATCATCAATTTTAGATTGTTTACATTACCCCCAAAAGAAATCACATACCCCTCAGTCATCACCATCCAAAGCCCTCTCTGCCTTCCAGCCCTAGGCAAACACTAAACTACTTTCTGTCTATAAATTTGTCTATTTTGGACATTTCATATAGATGGAATCATATAATATGTACTCTTTTATGACTGGCTTCTTTAATTTGGCATAATGTTTTCAGATGCATCCACATTTAGCATGTATTAGTACATCATTCCTTTTTACAGCCATTTGGGTTGTTTCCACTTTTTGGCAGTATTATTCATAATAAATAATGCTGCTATAAATAATCATGTACAAGTTTTTATGTGGACATTTGTTTTCAGTTCTCTTGGTTATATACCTAGGAATGGAACTGCTAGGTCGTATGGCAATTTTACGTTTAACTTTTCGAGGAACTACCAAACCGCTTTCCAAAAAGGCTGTAACGTTTTATATTCCCACCAGCAATGTATAAGGGTTCCAATTTCTCCACATCCTTGTCAGCACTTGTTATTGTCTCTTGTGATTATAGTTATCTCAGTGGGTGTGAAGTGGTATCTCACTGTGTTTTTTCACTGTGGTTTTGATTTTCATTTTCCTAATGATTAATGCACATATCTGCTCTTAAACCTAAGAAAACATACTTGAGAATACTTTTCCATTTATAAGGTTCATAGGTCAATATTTTCTAATTCATAAATACTTTTAGTTAAATATCTATAAACTACTAAAAAAAAAAAGTTAAAGCTAATTCCCAGTCCAATGCTTTATATATATTATAAACTCTCACATACATGAAATTAAACCAATATCACAGTATTATAAACTAACCTGTGTGTGGCAATTCAGCAAAGAACAACATTTTATCATTCGTTTTATTACCTACAGAAATAAAATTCTGATTATTTTCAAAAACTAGTTAATAGAAATTTTAAAACCTTATTTCAAAAGCCATTTAAGTACTGAAAAAGCCCATGTGTTAAACTGTGACACTGGTGGCCAGAGGTAATAGCAATGCATATCAAAAGAGAATGAACAAAATTTAAGATTTAGGAGGTAGAATCAATATGACTTAACAGCTGACTGGAAGTTGGGGGAGAGTCAGTAAAGAGCCAAGTATGACACTCAGAATTTGGGCTTCATCAACTCAAACAGTTTAAAAAAGGAGTGTAAAGTGTTTGGTATTTTGGGTCTATTATTTTTTTGTTTGTTTTTAAGAAGGGCAAGTGAGTTTGTCAGGAGGGGACCTTGGTAAAGTAACATGCTAAAATCAGTTTTGGACAGGGTGAGTTTGAGGTATCTTTAGGAAATCAAAACAGCAATGGTCTATGGTCAGTTGGAAATACGGAAAGCGAGCTGTCCTAAAGCAAACAATTTGGGAGTTATCACAACATACACGGAAATGAGTAGGTTCACACAGAGAGAGTACAGAGTGAGTAGAAAAGTGGGCCCAGAAAGAACATTTAAAGGTAGGCAGGAGGAAAGAAAGTCCACAAAAACAACTTACCTGGTCTGTATAAACATCGGGGGGCACGGCCTTATTAAAGAAATCAGAACACACAGCTCCTGCCTGGAGGTAATAGTGAAGAGCTGCAGAATACTGATTGGTAGCTGAAGTTGAAAACAAAGACACAACAGTTGAAAAACCAGACAGAGCCTCTTTTGTGGAGAGTCAGGCTGACTTCATAAATTGACAAAAGCAGACTCAAACCACAGACTTAGGGATAAAACTTTATACCTATCCAGGACAACACAGAGAAAACAATGGCTTTTTTTAAAAAACCACTTTAAAGAAGCAATACAGTAGATTCTCTGCCTTCTAAAACTGACCTGCAAAAAATTTAGCTCAGATTTCTTATCAAACTTACTAGTACGGAATTTAGTATTTGGAAGTATTTATTTCTCAAATGACCAAACTAGAAACATACCCTAATTTCTCAAGGTAGTTTCAGAACCAACACATCTATTCTGAATATAGATACTAAGATATTGATGATTAATTCTTTTGAGGTTTGAGGTGAAAATGGGCATTAAAATAGACTCTTATTTGCTTCAAAATACAGCGGGGGGTGGTGAGTAGCAGGAGATAATATACGAGGGTATAGACAAAGCAAAACTGGCCATTAGTTAAATACTTGTTAAATCTGTGGAGTAGGTACATGGGGGTTCATTATTATATTCAGTCCACTTTTATATTTTGAAATTTCCCTTTTCAAATAATCAACTCCTAAAAACTTGACTCTGAAATGATACCATAAGTCAGATATTTTATTTGATCTGTACAGTAATACGAATATTGGAAATTTCATATCAAGTCAGAAAATAATATTTATATATACCAGACGTGAAAAACAAATAATTACCAAGAGTGCCTGAACAGACTTTAACCAATTACCACGGAGTCGATTCCAACTCATGGTGACCCCATGTGCTCCAGAGTAGAACTGCACTCTATAGGGTTTTCAATGGGTATGATCTTTTGAAAGAAGACTGCCAGGCCTTTCTTCCAAGGTACCTCTGGGTAGATTTGAGCTACCAACCTTTTGGCCAAGCACTTAACCGTCTGTGCCACCCAGGGACTCCTGGAGAGACTTCACAATCTTTAAATAGCAATTTTGCAGAATAAAAACTTCACCCTTATTCCTTAAGAATGTTTTACCAACTTATTAGATCAACAAATACTATTCAAAAAAAGGTAGTCAGTCATTTGAACCAAAGTTTCTACACAGAAAAAAATGCATAAATATAACAATTATAATTTTATTATCTCAGTTTTAACTAGGAAGAATTAGATAATCTCCCAAAATAAAGTATTCTAATAAAATGTGCAATGTATTTATTTTCACTTTTGAAAGTGCTACAAAAATTATCACAGAGCAACCATACATTTCACTCACCAAAATAAATGTCAGCCTGAATAATTAACCAGGAATGGTTGTTTGGATTTATACTGAGTGTATACCGAACCAGCTCTTTCACTGTGATTGCCACAGCTTCAAAGTCCACTGACTGGAGGCTAGAGGAAAGACACTCAACATTAATCTCTATATTAAAAGTCAATTTCAAGTTCTATACAAGCATTTACTAAAAAAACAAAAACCCAAACCAAAAAGACATAGCCAAAACTTAGGTGGCGATAAATATGTTAAATATTACTAGTCGTAAATAAATAATAACTATCAGAACAACTAAGTCTGATACAGTATGATAAGCTAGCTTCTCATAAAAAGTGGAAAACTGAATTTTGTTTGTTTTTCCAAAATGCGATACAAGGTAGACTAGGTCACACCAAAAAAAGTATCTTTAAATCTTTTACAATTGTGTAAAACATAAAAGTAGTAGGATAAAACCCTTATGTCTGCTTTTATGACAAATTAAACAGACTCAAAACTTCCCCAAATTATTTTCAAGTTCTGTTATCTAGAAGCAGCCACATACACAAAACAAATGAACAAACAAGGGCTCAAACACTAACGCTACTGTATGGCCTCAAATCCACCTTGTGGCTTACAAGAGTTAACTGACTTCCTTAAGATTACTAAATGTCTCACTGGCCTTCGTGGCGTCTGGGGTAATTGTGGCAAGTATACCACTTCAGTGTGTTCAGGTAGCAATAAAGAGTCAAGAAAAGAGTAAGGAACGGGGCCAGATGTTCTGAGCCTGGTTAAACCTGGAAGTCTTGGGATACAGAATTAGAAGATGGAACTGTGATGATAAAAGCCAGGTCAGCATCCAAGAAACACAGCTGATAGCTCCCATCTCCAAGAAGTCGTAAAGCACAGTGGCAGAGAACACAGGCTCTACATTCAGACACACATGAGATCCAAGTCATGGCTCTATCATTTACAAGGTGAACTTGGACAAATTACTTCTGTTGTCCTCAAGGATTACATTTTTACCATAACTCACCACTGTGTCCGGTACAGTGGGGTAAGAACAGTGGTACTATTAACAAGTACTCAATTATGTATATACAAATAAATGAGTTAAACTGGTTAATATTTTACAGAAATTTATAAAATGCTAACACGTCTAAGAACATTATCTACATATTAATCTGTTTTACACTAATACTTAATCCAATACCATTCTTATACTACTGCTGAAGTCAATAATGACTCTTGTTCAAAAGTCAAAAATTTAGTCACATTTAGTTAATCCTGCTATGTGCCAGTCCTTGTTCTAAATACGTAACTTAGAAAATGTATTAACTTATTTAATCCTCACATTCTGAGATAGGTACTACTATCGTACCCATTTTCCAGACAGGGAAACTGACACAGAAAGTAACTTACTCAAGGTCATACACCTGGTAAATGGAGACACTGAGATTCAAACCCTAAGAGTCCGGCTCCAGCGCCTCAGTTCTAAACCAATCTTTTAGCTCATTTATAACTAAATGCTTTAAAATTCAATCATTAGTTTAGAGTCTAAAGTTAGGCTGAAGAAGTAACACCAAATGAACAACAATACAACTAATGAACAAGCAATTAAAGAGGTAAAATTATCTCTGATTCTTGGATTGATATCTAATATACTAAATTTTATATAAAAGTTAAAAATATATTCTAGCAGAATCTGTGCCTGGAATGCCATGGAGCTTACATATTTGCTTCATGGAACATGGCTGGTGTTCCTCCTCTGGGCTACAAGTCTCAAAGTGGAGGGCAGAGTCATTCACCCACTTTTGGCTCTCTAAATCCCTCTATGAGACACAGCTGCTTCCAACCTCTACGTCTGAGATGGAAGTAGATTACTTACTCTTATTACTTTCTCTATCACCTGCTTACCGACCTACTACAAGCTTTTTCTTCTTAAGAGTAATGAAATAAGGTCTAAATCTGCCCTTCAGGTACAAAAAAAGAAGAGGATTGGGAGAGAGAAGAAAATAACTATTGTGAGGAAACTGTATGAGAAGCTGTTACAGGTGGAAAGAGAAAACTGTAAATGGTTTCTTTCTCTAGAAAAAGGAGAACACTTGCTCTTTCCATCTTACTGTGATTCTCAGGAGATGAAAATAAGAGAAGATTTCTTAAAATAATTAAGGAACTTCCTAAGGCTACCTACCTAAAGGGAGAAGAGGTCTGATAATCAGTATTAGAAGGGATAAGACACTAGAAACCCAATAGAAAGTCATACTTTAATTAGCTTTGATTTTCCAGTTCTACCCACTGCCAAGTAATCAGGGCCACTTAGAGGTCTTCTGTTCTCATAACCTTAGTTCTTAAGAGTTACGCCTTATCTCCTTATCTATAATTTTTAAGAAAATAATTACTATAATAAAGAAACATTAAACTCGTAGTGGAATACAAACAGATTTGTAGCCTTTTAATCAAATTAAATCAAGGTTATCTATATCAGTCAAGACGGTTTCTAAATATATTAATAATTTAATAACAGGTAAGCTATAATACTTCTTACTTGGGAATGGAGGATGGCCAAATAGAAATGTGTTCAGCTGTAATATCATTCACAATATCCTCCTTTAAAGATATTAAAAAAAAAAAAAGTTACATTTAAAAAACGTCTTTCAAAGAGTTTAAAAAATGCAATTATGAAATACTGACCCGAACATTGTGAAGTTTCACAAAAAGTGATACAATGATAGTCAAAACCAATGGTTCCTGTGAGAAAGAAAACACAGAACCCTTAAATATTACATGTATTTTAATATTTCTCCTGTCATTCTCAGGGATACCAAGTATTTTCTCTTCCAAAAGACCCTGACTCCTTTGAGTGAAATTTAGTGTCTGTTTTAGTTTAGAGCATGTTAAAAATCAATTTCATTTTTAATCTCATGGAAAAGTTACAGTACACAATTTATGCAAAAATACCATGTTTAGGTGTCTGTCTTATGGTGCTATTTTCAAACTCAACTCCCCATAGGACTTTTGAAATTGAGTAATAGGATGTCTTTTTTCAAATAGTACTTCTAGCTCCCTCCAAAAAAAAAAAAAATTGATTTTTTATTCCTTAAAATAATATCTAAAGGATGGAATCTAGGTTATGTCCAAGACATAAGTATGTCCAATAAATTAATTCTATCAAGCAAATTTATAATAACGCCAGGTTTCACACATCTAGCCTGTTATGGAGACTGCTTTACAATTTAAAAAATACCTTCTCTACTTACCAAAACATGGCAATGTAAATGCAGAATAAACTTCATTCACATTATCCTACCTCTAATAATGATCACTGAAGATAAGCACATTAATAGACCAGTTTAATAATTTAATCAGCATTTGAAGCACTCAGTATTTTTTAGTCATCTAAATATCAGCAATAATAATTAGATCATTTAATAAAACTTACCCGTAATTTTTTAATAAAAGAAAGCAGTTCACTCCTATAAAAAACAAAAATTTTTTGTATACACATTTAATATCAGAAAGTATAGGTAAAGAATTATTCCTAACTGTCCAATTCTGTATGTATGAAAAGAGTATGAAATTCTATTGTCAAACTAACCTAATAAATTTATTTCATTTTTTAGTCACATGTGAAGTTTTCAGTACTATTCAACCTTAGACATTGCTCACTTTGAATTTAAGTTGATCATATATTAAATGATTCTAAAATAACATAGAAACAGAAAAGATTTCCAAGAGTGGCCATGACAGACACGTCTATCAGAGATCAGTACCATAAAATTCTTAAGGTTGTTCATTTTTATGACATACAGGGATAAAGGCAGATGTTCTTAAAATAGTACAAATAGTACAAATAATAAATAAAAACTCAAACAATAAACTGGTAGAAACATACCGATACATTATACCTAGTGTAGATTCTCTCTGCTTTATTAAACTAACTCTGCCATCATTTCCTCGTTTGTGCTGACTGGACACACTACAGATCTGAACGACAACTTCCCAAAGGTCTTTAGCAGTCCGTCTACTTTCTTTAGGGCCTGGAAGTTCTTTGCAGGTAGCTGCTAAAAGCTGTCCAAGCTATTACATGAAAACAAACAGAAAATACAAAGAAGACATACACCATTAGTACTAATGCCATACACCATAGTTCTATTATAAAGAGACACTTAATGTTTGGATACCTGCCAAAACATGCCAAGCACAGTTATTTTAGGCTGTGCATTCTATAGAACCCCTGAGGAATGTGGGCTCACACACGCTACTGACAGATCTGAATCTGTTTAGGGAAGAGGATTTGCTGGTTCTACCATATAAATTTCATTGTTTCTAAACAATTATAGTCTAATGAGAACAAAAACAAGTATAATCTAATAAGAACAAATGAGAAAAATGAGATAATGAAGATAATGGAGAGGGCGTGTGAATTATTAAGTAAAAAAAAGAAACAAGCTGCTAAATATAGATACCGTGATCCACTTTAAAAAAAAAGATGTAAATACATGTGTCACAATGGAAGGCAATGTTCACTCTGGTAAAAACCCAAAGGTGAGATTAAAATAGTGCCTAAATTTCAAACACACATACACACCCCATCTTACCTTTAATCATTAAAAAAAGCGGGATTTTTTTTTTTTTTCAACTAGGAAAAAAGGAAATTCAAGTTGCAGAACAAAGCAATGAGATTTAGAACAACTTTTCTCTAAGACAAACGACAGCAACTGGGGATGGAGCTACTACTGATATGAAGAGACAGAATTAAGAAAGGACATGCCCTCCCCTTCTGATCCAAGGGGGGAGACTAGACACTGTTTTACTATTTAAAAGAATAGATTACTGAAACTGATTGATCAGAATGGAGGCAGCCTTAAAGACTGAAGATGTAGGAGAGCCCCAGCAGTAAAGAGTGGAAGCGCTGAAAGCAAAGGCAGAAAAAAGGCCCAAGGTTTAAAGAAAAAAACCAGGATGACAAATCCAGCATTTCTTTCCCCCTACAATTTCAAAGCAAAAGAAGAGTCCCTCTCTCCTTTGTTCTTACTAAATTTTATTCATCATCATGACTCTTGTAGAGATTGAAGTGGCAAGGAAAATTTCAAGTCTATCGGGAAATACTAGTTTTCCCTATCTGTCATGGATTGAATTGTGTCCCCCCAAAATATGTGTCAACTTGGTTAGGCCATGATTCCCAATAGTGTGTGGTTGTCCTCCATTCTGTGATTGTAATTTCATGTTGAAGAGAATTAGGGTGGGATTTTAACACCCTTACTAAGGTCACATCCATGATCCAGTGTAAAGGGAATTTCCCTGGAGTGTGGCCTCCACCACCTTTTATCTTACAAGAGATAAAAGAAAAGGGAAGCAAGCAGAGAGGGGAGGACCTCATACCACCAAGAAAGCAGTGCTGGGAGCAGAGCGCATCCTTTGGACCTGGGGTCCCGGCATGGAGAAGCTCCTAGTCCAAGGGAACCTTGATGAGAAGGCCAACAGAGACAGAAAGCCTTCCCCTGGAACTGACACCCTGAATTTGGAATTTTAGCCTACTTCACTGTGAGGAAATAAACTTCTCTTTAAGCCATCCACTTGTGGTATTTCTGTTACAGCGGCATTAGATAACTAACACACTATCTAACTGGACCTATAGAATTTTCCTAACAGGGTCACTGTTGCTTATGGTGCCTTCTTTAAGAAGCGAGGCAGAATTATGACAGAGATAAAAATTGGTGCTTCCCACTCCCCCCAGCTTATAATGAAAACTTTCAAAAATAGAAAAATGGAAACATTAGTTTAATAAATGGCTGTGTACTTGACACACTGTTAATATTCTGCCGTATGTGCTTTATATGTCAATTTACATACAGTGTTTTGTTAAGCCATATCAATGTTGTAGACATAACACTTCACCCCTAAATACTTCAATACGCATCTTCCAAGAACAAGGACATTCTCCGACATAATCATAATTCCATTATCACACCACAGAAAATTAATGAGAGTATTAATGCATTTTTAAAGTTAGTGAAAATAATGTAAAAACCCTACCTACGCTATAGGATTGTACATCAAGGGTCCGCAGTATAGCAGGCCATTTTATCCTTCACGCCTAGTGAACATACTCTTCTCGGACAGCTGGGATCACTACATATGCTGCTGTTTACTGTAGTACAATGCCAAGGCTTTTGAAGCCCCTTATCTCACACTCAATTTCTGTCCCCAGGGATCATATGCTTAGGTGAAAGTCACAATATTTATTAAGTATGAACTAAAAGTGAGAATTTTCAGAGATCTTAGGCACTGAATCAATTCAATTCCACAAACATTCTTGAGTACTTACTATGTACTACGCATTGTGTAAAGCAAGGAGAATATAATAAATCAACTGTCCTCAAGAAACTTATACCAAAACCAAAAAAATCCAAACCCGTTGCCATTGAGTTGATTCCGACTCATAGCAACCCTACAGGACAGAGGAGAGCCACCTCATAGAGTTTCCAAGGAGCAGTTAGTGGATTCGAACTGCTGGCCTTTTGGTTAGCAGCCGTAGCTCTTAACCACTGCGCCACCAGGGCTCCCAAGAAGCTTACGGTCTTACAGAAAAGAGGCATGTGAACAAATACTTTATTGTACAGTATAATCACAACAAAAGAAGTATGGTGGCAAGAGAAGAAAGTGATTTACTTGTTAACATGGAAAGGAATACAGAAAACTTCAAAGAAACATCATAAACAGGCAAAAGTGGGAAGGGCATCCCAGCTAAGTGAACAAACAGCATGTGCAAAAGTGCAGAAGCATCAGAAAACACCATGCGTTCAGGGACCTGTTAGAACTTTGCTAACACCAGCACAGAGTTGGCAAAGCAAGGAACAGGGGGAAAGGCAACTGGGAAAAAGGAAGCACCTGCATCGTAAAAGGCCTTGTAGGCCATATTAAAAACACTGCTCTTCACCCTATATTATTACTGCTATCACTACCACCTGCTCCCCTACTAGACTAACACAATCCAAGTGCCTATAAATTCTGTGCCCTTTCTATTATATTACACTTCATTCCATTCTGATCTGCGGGGAGACTGAACAGTTTCACGTTACTAAAAAAGGGCAAAATTCAAAGACTTTTTTTCTTTCCTTCTTGTGATTAGATAATTCATATATATTTAAAAAAAAATTAGAAAATATGTAAAGATAGAAAAACAAAATTGATTTAAATTATCTAATATCAGGGGGCCAAGATAGCAGTGTAGTCAGATGCTTCCAGTGGTCCCTCTTACAACAAAGACCCAAGTAAACAAGTGAATTCATTATATATGACAATCTAAGAGCTCTGAACATAAAAGGCAAAGTTGAGGAATCTGACTGAGTGGCAGGGGAACAGAGAGATGGTTCAGAAGCAGTGAGGAGTTACCAGACCTGACCCAGTGGGAGCCAGTGCCCCATGGGCCGGATCGGCTGGCGTTTGCGGTGAGGCGGGCAGCGGCATTCAGGATCTGTTTTCCACGCCTGGAGAGATCGAGAGGCGGAGAGTCTGCTAAGGCCCCCAGAGCTAGTGAAAAGTGGTGCTCAACTGGCAAAAGATAAGTACGTGCGTTTAACCTATCACGTGGATCAAAAAATACCTGTTTGGGAAGAACCTCTTTCCCATTTACATGCTTCCTCTCTGCTTTGCAGTGTGTGCTAGACCAGCTTCAGTGATTACCTCTTCCTCTGGGACAGAAGTAGGACCTGTCACTCACCCTTAGCCATTCTCCCAGCCTTGGAGAGGGAACAAATAAACAAACAGGAAAAAAAAAAAAATCTGCCACGTCCCCTAAGCTGGGAACCCAGGCAGGCACAGCTCCTTTGCCTAGGCATAGGCATAACAGGTCCACGGACTTTGAATGCCTATCATCCCTGCATAGACCTGTATGGGCTCATCTCAGCACTGTAGGCCCTCATTAGCACAGTACAAGAGGGTATATACCTGAAGCCTAACTTCACGTTATCAGCTATATGGTGGAGTGGCAGGTTCATGACATTTGACACCGCTCTGCCCATTAAGCAGGGTCCTCACCTACCCATATCAGGGGCCTGAGGATTGGGGCTCCACCTATGCCACCTAGCCATCTGCAACAGGGGTCCAAGAATAAGTGGCGCTTCCCACTCCTTACAGCCAACAGCAATGACTGCCCATAATCTGGCTGCAAAACCCACCCACGTACACACTCTAGGAAACGGGGACATGCTTTCCTCCCAGACACGCAGAGGCAGTCGTCAGCCCCCTGCCTTAATCAGCGTGTGACCCACTACTGCAGTCAGATACCTGTGCCTACTCCAATCACCCCTGCCCCTACAGGACTGTAGGCAAGAGCCTGCACCACACACTTGGTGACTGACTATCTGGACATCTGAGCTGAATCCATAAAAGTAAAGTAAAAGGACTCCTCTGCTCATACACCTACTAAAGATCTAATCACCTGGTGACAGGACGACAGAATCAATAATCAAACTAGCTCATGTGAGCAGCCTACTTGGGCATATCAAAACATATCAAAACAAGAAACTAGGATAGAGTAAGCAAACATAAAATAAATAAATAGAATAACTTACTGATGGCTTGGAGACAACAGTCAATATCAAATCACATAAAGAGGCAGACCACGATGGCTTCAGCAAGCTACTAAAACAAAGAATCAATAAATCTTCCAGAAGAAGAGAACTTTTTGGAATTACTGGAGGTAGAATACAAAAGATTAATATACAGAACTCTTCAAGAAATCAGGAAGGAGATCAGGCAAAACGCTGAACAATCCAAGGAACACAAAGACAAAGCAACTGAGAACTTAAGAAGATTATAGACGAACACAATGAAAAATGTAACTGGCTGCAAGAATCCATAGAGAGACAGCAATCAGAAATCCAGAAGATTAGCAATAAAATTTCAGAATTAGACAACTCAACAGAAAGTCACAGGAGCAGAATTGAGGCAATGGAAGGCAGAATTAGTGAGACTGAAGATAAAGCACTTGACACCAACTTATCTGAGGAAAAATCAGACAAAAGAATTTAAAAAAAGTGAAGAAACCCTAAGAATTATGTGGTACTCTATCA